CAAAGCATTTGGACCATTAAATAATAAAACATATAGTAACAAATATAAGAAACCATAATAACAAGTAATAAAGAGAATTTCAAAGGTAGTCAACAAGATATATAGGTAATATATATGGTAAATAATTTTTAATCACAGGTGGAAATTTTTCTTATTTTTAAAATTAAGCAATGAGTACACCACTAGAGAAAAACACAATTTAGGTGCTCACTCCACAATATAAACAATAGTTTTAGAATCATAGAGTTAACATGGTAAATAAAAGCATGAATAAAATTAAGTAATGGCAAATATAAGTTCATTATTAGGCAGAGAAGACTTTCTTTCTAAGAATGACACTAAAGGAAGAATCCATGAAGAAAATCATTAAAAGATTTTACAAAATAAAAATTGAAAAGTTTTATAGGAAGAAACATACTACAAATTAATTACAAATGTAAGCAGAAAACTGAAGACAACATACAAATCAGGCAAAAAAATCTATGTCTTTAATCTTAAAATAAAAAAAAAAACTTTCTTCAAATTAATAAATTAAAGACTAGTGAAATTAATCCAGCTAACCTACGTTTAGGTATATGTGCTAGATAAAGACTTAGAATGGGTGCTTAGATAAATTTGTTAAAATATGTTTTCTGAAATATTGTTTGCATACTCCAAAATTTGAGGAGGGAGATTAACCATCTAAAAATAAACTGTACTTTAAATTATCGTGTGCAAATGTCACACGATACAAGGTAACCAATAAGAATGCTATCAGATTTTTATATTATATATAATGCACAAATATGATGTATATATCAATACAAATAAATGATTACTAGTATATTGTTATTAGTATATTGTTCTTATGGAATGATGTTCACAATCTAATGTTACATCTTAAAAAATTATAAATCTTCATATTCAGGATATTTTTATCTTTGTAAGAAAAGCATCTTTGTAAGAAAAATTTCAGAAGGATTTGCACAAAAATCTTATCAGTAATTTGGTTGGAGAAATACATGAATTTTAATTTTATTTTTATGCCTTTGGCTTTTACAATTACACTCACAATCCTCCACTTACCCTGTAGTCACCGCGCCCTACCAGATGCCAGGTTATGGGTGCGGAAGACACAGAGTTTAGCAAGACACACTCCTCGCCCTTGTGAGTTTACATTACAGTGAGGAGGGGGCCAGCAGATAAACTAACAAGTTGGTTAGGTAATTACAAATGGGTAAAGGTTCTATGAAGGTGTAGGTGGGGAGTAACCGGGTACTCTTTCAGAGAAAGTAGTCAGGGTAGGCGTGCTTCTCTGAGGGGCAGATAAGACCAAACCGATCATGGAAGGTGTTGGTGGGGGCAGTTTTGAGGCCAAGGGAATGGCAAGGTGTCAAGCCTCACGGAGGCAGTGGTTAGGTGTGTGACAAGAGCAGAAAGGACACAATGGTGGGCAGGTGGGAGGCAATGTCGTGGGAGACTTAGGCCGGGACAAAGTTCAGTTCTTGTTCTCATCTGATGCAAAGCCTTTGGGAGCAAGCCAGGACCCGACTTAGCCTGGAGATGACAAGAGGGGCTGCGCGGCTGGGGGGCTGTGGCGCCGCCCAGTGCGAGGAGGCGACTTGGCCAACACCGCGTGCAGGGCCAGGCAGCAGTGAGAATAAGATGTGGTCACAGGTGATGTCGTTCTTGACTGCAGAAAAATATAGCAAAGATTCTAGAATGGGAGGTGAGTCTTCCTAGAATTCTCTTTTCAACTCCACCTGGTAGATTTCATTCCTCCAGAATACCAGTTTGAATGAGAAGACAGGTGTCTGAGGTGAGCAAAGGGTGGAAAGGGAGTGGCTGGGATACGAGTCCTGGTGGAAGGGAAGTCACAGGAGGGACACAGTGATCACGCCTCAGATGACTTCTGTGCCGGACTGGGACTGGGGCCAACGGCTGGAGGCTCCGGGACCCAGATTTGAGCTGTGGATAATGAATAATGTTCTCATAGTTGCAGTAGCTCAGGAGGTGGCAGGGTTGGGGAAGGCAGGCAGGTGAAGAGGGGACTTGACCGTTCAGCAGCACTGCGAGAAGGTAACTGGTTTCCTCTCCTTGCCATTCCCTGAGTATGCGCCATCTGTGTTACTGGCCATCCTGCTATTGCAATTATGCAGGCAAGGAATTTGGGAGCCATCCTTCCGTGTTTCTCTGTACCACTCATCCAGTCTACAAGAAAACACAGTGAGAGCTACTTCAGACCATAGCCGGAATCCAATGGCTTAGCACCTGCAGGATGTTTACCCTCACCTCGTCATCTGTCAGTTTCCCTCCCTTTTCCACCCTTGCCCCCTGCAGTCTGCTTGTTCATAGAGCAGCCTACACGATCTTTGGAAAACCCAGGTAGTGTCTTGTGACTTTTTTGTTTAAAGTCCTCCAATAATTGTTTGTCTTATCGAGAATAAAATCAAAACTCCGTATGTTTGGCCACAGGCCTCCTGTGCTCCTGTCTGACCTTACAGCATCTCCCTCTCTCTCTCTGTCCCCATATCTCCTTCCTCCAGCCACGCTGGTCCCTTACTATTTCCCGAATGATCAGGCATCTGTAGGACTTACTCCCTCACCTCTTCAGTTCTCTGCTTTGGGAGGCCTTCCTGCCACCCTCCGTGGGGGCAGTTAGTGCTCTGGTTCATGGCTGTGTCCTCAGTACCCAGAAATTACCCGACCTACAGCAAGTCCACATACATCGTGGCGAAATAAATGAGCTCACTGAAAACATTTTGGGAACCACAAACCATGGAGATGCCAAGGAAGCCAAAACACATGAAGGAAAAGAGCCACAGTCTAGAGCAGGAGACGAACTAGCGAGAGAGAAGGCCTGGGGCCGCAGAGTCCCGGCAGCAGCGCATGGACGCCTGTGCTGGGGGCATCTCATAACCTTCACGGCAGCACGACTCGGGCATGTGGGGGCCATGTGGGAGTTCCTGTAGGGGGCTGGCATGGTCAGTTTTGCGTTTTAGAGAGATTAATTCCAAGAGCTTCACGGAGTTGGTAGGGCAGTGGGTGAGACAAGAGGCTGCTGTGATAGCCCTTGTGAGAAAAGGCTCATGCTTGAACTTAAACCATATATCATAGGGGGTGGAGATAAAGAAATGGCTTTTAGAGAGAGGTAGGAAGAAGAACCCTAGAATTCAGTAATGCAAAACCATAAATCAAGCATAATCTTGAGAGGCAGATATTATTCCCAGAAGCCATCTCATCTTATCTTCTAGAGTCGTTTCTTTTTATGTCTTTCAATGAAAGCAATTAGAAATACCTTCAGAATGTCTTCTTCATGGAAACCAAGGTTGTCATTCTGCACACTGGAGAATAGACCTGACTCTAACAACACTCATGTATGTATGCAGTTGCTGCTCATGCTGCTCTGTGAGTGACAAAATGCTGCCGGTAAGGACCCTGCCTCTCATAGCTCAAAGATCTACTTTAAACATATTTCATGGTGGCATTCATTTGTGATCATGATGTCAATTTTATTAAAGCTTTATCCTAGCATTATTAAAATCTAAACCTGTTGTCAGACTGAATTGAAACTCCTCATCCTATAGTATTATAATTTTTTGACACTGTTGACACCACACGCAGCCAGATCTCTGGTCCCCCAAATCCGGGTGAACTCCAAATTCACAACTTCCTGCCTTGACTTCTCTGCCCAGAGACAGTATGTAAGTCAGAGATACCTTGGCTCTTATAGAGAACTAATGTCTGGGCAAAGCTAACATTGGAGCAACAATTGCATGAAAGGGAAACATTGCGAAGTGTGAGAAAGATTTTTCTTAACCCAGGAATCGGTAGTAGATCCTGGGGAATGTGGTTGAAAAAATAAATATATTAAAAAATAAACTTGTGTTTAGATGAACTCAGCAGAGAAAAGAGAAACAAACCAACATCATAGGATCATGGAAGCACCACGTCCACAGAGAACCAGGTAAAGTGTCGTGTGCCCAGCAGTTGAGGCAACTCCATTTTCTCAGCCTCTAACCTGGCATGAAACAAAACCAGGGTAAGCGGGACAGGAGGCCACTGCCTCGATATCTTTATTGCAGATTGTCTTGGAGAGAGTCAAGTCTCTGAAACTAGGGCCTTTTGGTAGCTGGAATACTGGTGGAGCAGAGCTGACACAAGAAAAGAAGTCAGCCCCAGCAGGAGGGGCTCTCCATGATGGGACACTCAGCAGAAAGATATTGGATGGTAAAATGTCAGAAGCCAGCAATCCATCACACCATGCAAAAAGTGTCACCACCACACATTTATTCACACAACAAACCCTTCATGTGTATTCACTGCTGGGCAAGAAATGTGGGAAATAGAGTCATCCTCCTCCTTCCTCAGTTTCCTGTCCAGAAGAGGATGTGACAGAACTGTACAAGCAGCCTCTGGAGACGCCATTATTCATACCAAGGATGCCAGAGAGCCCTTTACCGCCGTCCCCAGCCCTATGTTGAGCGGTGCTTTCTTCTTAGATCTGACCAGCTATGACCAGCGACAGGGCAATGTGCTGCTGCTCCGATTCGATGATGGGAGCTCATCGTACTGCTTATGTACACGTTATTTTCTTGCTTTAGAATTCACAGGTCATAATAAAGCATTGTATGTCCACAGACCAGCAAGAAGAATTAATTAAGAGGAGCCTTTTAATGTAGAAAGCAGCTTACTGAGATAATGGAAAAGGCTTTGGTAAAACTCGGCTTAATTGGAATTTCAAGCAATTCCTGGCTTGTTGGACCAGGGATTTTTACTGTTATAGACAGGATGAGCAAGCTGTTTAAAGAGCTTATGGGCAGAACTGGACTCCAGAGGTCTCGGCAGAGATGGATTTGACTCAAACAATCGGGGCTGTCACAGAAAACAGCAAGCAGGGAGTGTAGACTCGCTCTCTTGTCACTGCATGGACATGCAAGGGTTATAAACCTCTATCGTCCCGGAAACCCCAGAAGCTGAGGATGAATTGGCGGGTCAAGTTGCAATAAAGCAAACCTGCTGCCTGTTTCTAGATACAAATACTGGATGAGATAAAGAGGACACAAATGTAGGGTGTGGGCTTTGGCATTTGAAATGCAGGGATCTGTGCCCCAATTTTACCATGTTCCTCCTGGTAAATTCTAGATAACATGCTCACCTCACAGGAACAGTGTGAATATTAACTGTTAATAGAGCATGTTAAATGCATAATACTCCTCTGTAGTGTGCAGCATTCTCTGTGTAGGATGGAGACACTTCCTTAGAGAAGTTTATAATGGAATGTAGATGGCAGATAAATCATTAATACATTGGCTGGGATGCAGCCTTTTTTCCCATTTGAATCATGGTACATTAACTGAGCAACTAGCAGTCAAGGCCAATAGAAATGCATGCCTTTCAAGGACATGAAAGAGCTTTGGGGAAGAGGAAAGTGGCTGTGTGTTTTGGTGGGCTGGCCAAGGGTGGGCAGAGGCAGAAAAAGATGAATGAGAAGTTCGCACCACTTTCTTGTCTCACTGTCCCCCAGTATAGCTATATGGTCCAAATGCTACTCATCGGAAACACCTATGCCTGCAACTCAATGGGGCCGTCTGAAGAGCTGTTTGTCTCAAAATTAGCTTGATTCACATCTGAATTATCAATGATTAGTGGATTGCATCTTCATTTTAAGCTCAATTGGCTATATGTCACCCTAAAATATATTCCACTGAAGACTGATTTTGTTTGCTTCTTGTTATTTCATTGGAGCTGAACTCAAATCTCCCTTAGCACATACCTCATGGATGGCTTTGGGGGACATGCACATGTTCTTCTCTTGTGATGTTTAGTCTACCCACTAGACTAGGTACAAAAAGGGATTCCTTGGTTCTAAGATAAGGACAGGAGCCCTTTCCAGGATGGCAGTTTCTCCAGCAAAAACACTGGTTTTGCTCTTGTGATAACAAAGAGAATGAAATGGAATCCAGGGCATTGTCTGAAGTTTTTCGCAATTTAGCAGATATGTATGACTTTGGAAATAAGCAGCCTTGAATAAAGCCCCAGAGGCAAGGAAAGATCCAGAAGACTATGCATTTGCAGGAATAATAATCTTCTAAATATAGCAGCAGAAAGCTTCCCCAATACAACAGAAAATTCCAGGATGGGCTTCTTAGAAAAGACTAAATTACAGCAGTTTATGTGAGGGAGAAATAGACCTGTATCTGCTATTCTCCTCAATGTATGCTGTGCAAGTGCCTAATATGAGTCCATTACTGTTAGGAGCTTCCACATTTGTCCTCTAATTTTATCTGCACAGCAAGCCTGAAAGGCATATAGTTTTATTCCCATTACAAATTAGGCTGCTGAGGCTGAGAGAAAGCAAATAATATTTTCCAGGTTCACACAGCCATCAAGAATGAGGACTGAAATGTGGAACACAAGCTTTTCCCACTAATTACTAAGAGTTTTTTACTCCCTAGGTTCTAGAATGCTGTTTGGCTTTCATTTTGCAATTACTCACAGCAGTTTTATGGCGATTCTACTTTACAATGCCCACCAAAGTCCCCACCCCAGCAGCAGATGCCTCTCAGACCTCCCCAGCCAGATCAGGAGCTCCTCAAAGGCAGTGCACCTCAGGGTCCGCTGGAGAGCTTCATAAACACACATTGCTGGGCCCCACTTTAGATTTAGGAGCTCTGGGTGTGGCCAGAGAATTTGCATTATTTTTCATTGCGATACACTTTATACACTATAAAATCCAACCATTTAAAGTGTACAATTCAATGATTTTTTAAAAAATAACCTTACCTACTTATACAACCATCAATCCAGTCTAGTTCGGGAACATTTTCATTGCCCTATGAAGATCCTTTGTGCCTGTCTGCAGTCATTCCAAGCTCCCACCCCCAGGCCCTGGCAACCATTAATCTACGTTCTGTCTCTATAGAGTGGTCTATTCTGGAATCACATACTATGTGATCTTTTGGATCTACCTTCTTTTTACTTAGCATAACATTTTCAAGGTCCATCTGTGTTGTATCAGTATTTCATTCTTCTTTGTTGCTGAATAGTATCCCATTTATTGCACGCACCGCAATTTGTGTATCTAGTCACTGAGAATTTGCATTCATGACAAGGTCCCAGGTGGTGCCAAAGCTTCTGTTCTACATTTTGAGAATACTTTGTGGTCTAGGCCAACACTTCTCAACCTTGGCTGCCCATTGGAATCTCCAGAGATTTTTACAAAACACCACGCCTAGGCTTCATCCACATTTTGATTGAAATGTTCTGACATGGGGCTTGAGAACAGTATGTTTAAAGAACTCCACAGGGGATTAAAACGTATGGCTGAGGCTGAGAACACCATCTCTCATTCCTTGCTCCTCAAGGTGTGCTGCAAGGACCAAGGACAGCAGCACCTCACCTGGGAGCTTGCTGGATTTGTGAATCACAGGCCCCACCCCAGACTTCCCGAATCCAAATCAGTATTTTAACATCCCCAGGTGATTCATGCATACATGGGGATTTGAGAGATGCTGTTTCACAGCAGAGTATAATGCCAAGGAGCAGAAAGCAGGAAAAAAGGGAAAATTTCACTTAAAGACTGAACTGTAATGAAAAGCAAAGAAAGGGCTTGATGAACAGGTGGTTCCTTTAGTTTGAATTGCTGAGATGAGCTCTTGCATTGATCAAATTATGGAATAATTGCTGACCTTCCTTCCCATCCCTGTAGCTGCAGTTACACTTACTTATGGGAGCTGGATTAAACTGCCTGCTCTAAATAAATCTCATTCCCTTTCCCGGGAATGTGGCTGGGACATGCTAATGAGTTTCATCTGTGCCCATCCTAATGAGCACATGCTGGGAGTCCTCCAACAATTTCTTCTCTGAATTGCTGAACCCATTTGGATTCCATGGGGCCTCAACATCTTGATCAGATTAATTAATCCAGTTGAGTGTAACCATTTTAGGGGTGAACCTGTTTAGTTCTGGGTGTTAGGTATTAGGGAATTAAGCCATAAAGTATGCCTGGTATACTAAGGGGTATCAAGGGCTCAAAGAGGTACTTAATGCTCAGTTGATGATGATACCTGATGTCCCAGAAAGAAAGACAGGTAACCACATTTGGCAGAAGGAGTGTAATCGGGGAAGGCTTCCTAGAGGAGGTGATTACTGGGATAATGTTGAATAATCCATAATAATTTCCCAAGTTAGAGAGATGAGAAGGTGCAGAAGGGCACTGGGCAGGCAGAGGGAAGAAGTAGGATAAAGGCCTGGAAACACAAACATACTTGAGATCTTGCTTCTTTTTTTGAGATCTAGATTTTGTAAAAAACAAAAACAAACCAAACAAAACAACAACAACAACAAAACCTTGTTTTGAATCTAGAAGCTCAAACTATTATCCTTTGTGGAGGGTCAGGAGCCAGAAGTACTTTCAATGCACAGAGAGACCCCCAAACCAGCTGGGCTTTTGACGAAGAAGCATGCTGTAAAGAGGAAATGACTTCACTACTTTGGGTCTGGGGGTCTGACACATGCAGGTCTATCTGGGGTCGCCTTTCATCTCACGAGCTTGGGCAATCTGACAGCTCTCTAGGGCCTGTGATATGACGGTACCCAAGCACGTGTGGGTGGTTGTGTCCTGGAGGGAGCTGACAACCAGCCACATGGAGAGTCCAAATTGCAGGACACAAGCAGACCCGACAGGCAGAAGCAGACAAGGCAGGGACCTCAAGGTTTTGGTCGCCAGGGCTCTGAAATCAGAGATGGAGATAGAGACCTGGGTTCAGATTAGATCCTGGAACTCCCAACTGTGTAAAAAGAGTGAGTGAAATGTCAAATGCAAGGTCAAGTTTGATATAGATGCTCAATCAATGCCAATTTCCTTCCCTGTCACAAACCTTTTCCATGACAGTACCCCGGGAATCAAACCCGGATTCCAATTATCACTTGAACTGTTCACCTCCCTTATGCTGCCCCTTATCTTCATGGTCTGACTTTATCTCCACAGCCAGAGCCTCTCTTGTTGGTTGTAATCCATGAGATAGTGAAGTAAGGAATTTGAATTCCCCTTCTCTGCTTCCTTCACCCTCCTTCCCTTTCTTCTTCCTTCTTTCACTCCTTCCTTCCTTCATTTTTTTCTTTCTTTCCTCCTTCCTTCCTCCCTCTCCTCCGAGTTAAATGAACCCTGCTGCAGCTTCCTGAATACTGAAGGCTTAAACACACTCAAAACAAGCAGAAGGAATTAACATTCAAGGGATTATCTCATGTCGGTCCTCAAAATAATCCCATGAAGCAGATAATAATACGCTATCCCCATTTTACAAGTATAAGAACACTGAGGCATGTTATCTTGCCCGAGGCTACCCAGTTAGTAAGGGTGAAACTGGTTTGTCCAGACTGTAGCCTGGATCGGGCTGCCCTTCATGGGCCTGTTGCCTGTGCCAGGGCTCCACAGACACTGAAGGGACATATGTCCCCAGATGCCTCAGTTGCAACGGTGTTTGGGTCACCACCCTCAGGAGTAGACTGTGATAATCTTGGGGGCAGTCCAGGGATTGTGAAATGATGCCGTGCACATGAATGGATATGTCACCCTAACCTGTAAGGTCTGTGACCCCAAGTCCAGACAGCCAGGCACTGCTGGGAGAGGGTGCTCGCCTCATATTTCCACATGTTTCATTTAGAATCCACATCATATTGAGGGGTCAACGCAGGACTCAGATCCACAGAAGGGCACATGAATCACAGCCGCAGAACAATTCCATTTTGTTGGATACCAGCAGGCGACTTAGCTCAAAAACAAATTATGCTTACGAAAGGCTTGGATGAGTCCACTGTGGCCAGCCCTGCAGTGTGGCAGGTTATTTCTTGTCCTTAATTACTCTGTCCTCTGGTGGAGACAGAAAATACAGTTAATCCACTGCATTATGTCCTCAGAGCAGAGACCCCCCTTGATTATCTCAACTTTTAAAATACTCTTTGTGTTTGAGTGAATGTGATTGTTGTTTTAAATGTGTAAATTAATATAATTAATGAAGAAATCCTAACTGAAGTGTGGGATTACATTTATTTGGCATCTACTCCATTAATGTCTAGCATCTAAAAAGCATTGTTAATCGTATGCACACTGTTAATTATCTCAACATGTTTAATTGCTGTTTTCTTAAATAACTAGTAGGCCATATGTAAATGATCTTTCAAGCATTAACATTTCATTTGGTGAAAAAATAAAACAAAACAGATTGCATGATACATTAAAGTGAACATGATCTTTGGGCCATTCATGCTGTATTAAACGGGAGACCAAGAGAACGAGTCCCCTTACCCCCGCAACCCCAAACCCCAATGGCACATAAGGGCAAATATAACTACACTTGGAAATATTACAGAATTGTCAAAGGAACAGCATATCTGCAGTATAAATTGTAGGGACATATGTTAGAATTCTAGTTTTCCTGTGACTACAAACTCTTTGATTTTTTGTCAAGCTAGAAAACAAAAATAATATCAAACACTTAGGGAACATTTACTATATTCCAAATACTCTACAAGGGCTGGGTGTATTTTTCCTTCCATTTCATTCTCATAATGGTTCTAAGATGAAGATTATGTGATCGTCATCCCATTTTACAAACTCGGTCTGGTAACTTGCCTAAGGCCACACACCTAGTGAGGTGGCCATTAGGGATACTTGTCTGGTATTTCCTATTTCCTCCTTCTGGGTGGGATGACCAGCAACTTTCTTTGGTGGACATTCCTTTAAAAACCCCGATTATTCCACCTCTCTGCTTGTTGAGCATCTGAACTCAGCATCCAACAGGGGAGACAAAACTTCCTATCCTACAAACCTAGAAAGCTTCTACAACCTTGCTTCCCAGCCAGTGTATTGAGACAGGTACATCACTCTGTTCAGGAGACAGGTTGCTGGGAGGAAATGCTTCTCATGATTTTTCCTCAAGAAGCAGGGAGGCATTATCATGAATATAGAGGGTGGGGAAAGACTCGTGCGTGTGTGTGTGTGTGTGTGTGTGTATGTGTGTGTGTGTGTGTGTAGAAAAAAGATAAGCAAATGAGTGGGGGGGAGAGAGAGAGATGTGTAGACGACATGAGAAGGGGCTGTACTAGATATGATAGGGAGTATATTTCTTCTTCCTTAAAAGCTTCTGGGGAAGAGTCTAGATGTAGGCCAATGCAACAAACGCTGGGAGTTATAGCAGCAACATTCAAGAAAGCATTTGTCTCCCTGAAAAGATCACCTCATTGAGTGTTTACCAATGGGTCTTGGTGAGGCAGATATTTTCACTGTTGTCTCCAAGAATCCAGAGGGAGGGACAGAGTAAAGATTCTCTACTCTCTCAAAGGACATTTTCCAACAGAGTATGAAAAACCTCTCCACACTTCAAGAAGAACCTAGCACCATAGTCACCTCGGTTAGTTGGACACAGGTAATGCAGTGTGCACAGCGACAAGAATTCCGCTAAAGAATAGATATGCAGTGGTGCAAAGACAGAAGGAAAAGGCTGTGTGTGTGGTGATACCCAGGAATGAACCATGAATTAAAATATATAACACTTACCCACAACCATCAATTCACTTAATATGCTTGATAAAATGTCTATACCAATGTAGTCATTTGTAAAACCTGAAAGAGCTGAAAAATTTAGAAAGCAGGAGAGTAAAACAGTAGAATGTGACTTATTATGGCCAATGAACATGGCAAATAAGGGCGAGGGAATGATTTAGCCATGGGCAGCTTGAGCCACTACCAAAGACGTGGTTCAGAGCACAAGTTCCCTAAATGTCACCAGTCACAGTAGCTGTGTATATTTTTAAGGAAATAGCCTACCTCAGTTTGAGTTCTTGGTGTTTCCTGTTTTTTTTTTGTTTTGTTTTGTTGGGCTGCTGGGTCACTGAGCGCCTATCCTGCATTGGGTGACTCTGATTTGAAGCCATGATGCTTCATAGCTCTCTGATTCCATGAGTGCTGGTCACTCTGCACCTCCGCACCCTACCCCACCCCGCCATCACTCCACTCCAGTCTTCTCTGAAGGCTCCTGATTGTTCTTCAAGGCCCAAACCACAAGTTAACACACTGTGTGAGATCCTCCATAATTGCCCCAAACCATGTTACTTTAGTTTTTTGTCTGATGTTTCTTAAACAATAGACTATTAACTGTACCGGCTATCACTTGCTTCTCCATGTAACTCCAGACCTAGCAAGGGGTCAGTGAAGCTTCTGAATGTGTAAATGAAGGGAAGTTGGGGAAGAAGAAGAAAGCAAAGGACTGGGGGAGGGAGGAAGTGGAAGAGGAGAGAAAGACAGACAAAAGGAGGAAAGGAAAGTGTAAGTTGCACCCACACCCGCCATGTGGTACAGTCTGCGAGAGGCTGTTGTCAGGGTCTTGGGCTTCTTTCTCTGCGACCATGGCTGTGACCACTGCCCTGTGGCTGACAGTGTCTGAGGAGAAGAGATTTTACCCTCATACAAAGGTTGTTGCCATTCCGGTGTCCTTGTTGCCAACAAGACTGTCTGGTGACACATGTTTTTTTACATCAAGGCTCAGAGCAGTCAGGCAACTCCAACGCTTTCTGACAAGATCATTGTACAGTGTCCGAGTCCTGTTGCCCGAAAGCTAGTGGCAAGCCCTGCTGAATGCCAGCAAAAGGAATAGCTCACCGTGCTCTGCAGCCTGCTCTGGAACTCCTGGCTTGTGTTCTAGAAGCCAGAGTGTGGACCTCTCCAGACCATTCAGGTCTTTGTTCCAGACTCCTAGGCTTCCTCCGCCAGGACCCAGGAGGCCTCCTGCACTGGGTAATTGGTCACTTATCCTGTGAGCGAGTGACGGCCAGACGAAAGCCTCTGTGTGAGGAGCACCTCAAGAAGGAGGAATCTTCCTAACAGAGGAGCAGGCTCAGCTCCCAAAGGCACGGTGCTGGCACACACCCAAGCAGTCAGATGCTGAAAGAAACGGGAGAAGGTCGACTGGAGCTCTTTATTTAGAGAAAATAGTATAACCTGACCTCTCCAGTCCTCACTCTGCCGACGTGGCTGAGATGTCACAGGGTTTTACAGAATTATCTCATCCAACCTCCTAACAGCAATAAGTCAGTTTTTAAATTCATTCTGCTCTACGTACAGATGAGGAAACTGAGGCACAGGGCCATGGCACCAGTTAGGTTTTCTGGGAAGCAGTTGCTAAGATGGAGGTAGAAGCAGAGAACTTTATGGTGGAGAACTTGCTGTGAACGAGCCAGGAAGGAAAGAGAGCTGCTCAGGGAGACGGTCAGGCGGCGGTGGGCACCCCACAAAGTCTCAATGGCCAAAGTGGGTGGGGTGAGGCAAAGCCTGCCCCTTAGAGGGGTGCCCCTTGTAAAGGAAACGTGGAGCCCCTGGCACCGCCACCATGCTTGGGCACTGGCTGGGGCTGCCCCAGAGTAGCAGGACCGACTGAAGTGGACCCTGCCAGGAGCCAGAGGCTGTCAGCTCTCCACACTCCTCTTAACAGAGCAGTGAGTCCATTCCTGAAGGGGAAGTGGGCAGCACACCTATGTGTCCAGGGGGTGAACTTCCCAAGGTTGTTGATAGTTGTAAGTGGCAGGGCCAGGTCGAATCCAGGTGGTGTGACCGCATCCCAGTGTTCTTACCCATGGTTTACTGCAGCTGTCTCTAGCAGAGAGTTGCCAGAGAGAAATTAAAGGCACTTCTAGCTCATGGCTCAGCATGAGCTTGCCTACCAAGCTCCCCACCTGCCCTCTGAATAGGATGTACAAGTCTCCTGGGGGCCAGGACAGCTCTGCTGGTGGCCGCCACCCCAAAGCTCTGGTGTGTCCCTTCACCATGGACAGGATGGGCCCTCCCTGCAAAGGCTACCTGCTTTGCTGGCAGTTTTCCTCCTTTTTTCCTGGGTCTTCATCATCCCACTTTCAGCCTAAAAGTGAAGGAAATGACGACTTTATCCTGGTTTTTGTGAGTGTCCCAACCTGCAGCCCCTCTCTCTTCATTTCTGTGCTGTTGTAACAGCAATCCTGTTGGTGTCGCTGGTCTGCTTTTCTATCCTACCTCCTTGTCCTCTCAGTAAATTCAAGGCATGTTCTCTGTAGGACTGGTCTGAAGAGCCACCTGTGCCTGCAACATCACATTGAAAGTCAACCCTGCCGGCTGCCTCGGTCCTGGCACCTTCTCTCTCCTGCTAAGGGGGAACATTTGCATCAGATTCACATCATTTACTGCTGTCAATGTTCAATTCCCAAAGTGCCAGTGACCACTCTCTCTCCCAAAGTGTCTATCGAGCCCTTCCACAAATAGAATCCTAAGTGGCCAACCCTTACATAGCTCTGCACAGCACAGTCCCTTCCCGGGTGCATGTACAGAATAGAAATTTCCCTGCAATGGCTGCTACATTATAAATGAGTTTCCGAAGGGGCATCAAAGAAAGAAAGAGAGATGGAGAGGAACTTTGGGAAGATTTGCTTCTATCTCCTACTCTGATTGGGCATTGAATCTTTTCTGAGCGAGGATGACTTTCTACCCAGCCGTCCTCCTCAGGAATCAGCTGTCAGTGTATTAATGAGATCCTTGGGCAGCCCCGAGTGAATAATGATAACCTGGCAGACACACAATTATGCATTGACAATTTTAGAGCTACCTCTGCCAGCTCTGTCCTTCCCAGCAACTTGCAGCTTTCAAGCCTCAGTCTCATGTGGTTTCTAAATCAATCATAGCCTAGCCAGCCCACAGGTGTGTGAATCTTGCTTTTGTAAGGTGAGTATAGGTGTGATGGGGTTGAACTTGGGCATTCTGGCCCCTTCCCTGAATGGCAATGAGGAATCACTGAGTCTGTTTGCAATACGATACTGCTTTTCCCAAACGTCTTGACATTGAGGCTACATCTGCAGCAACAACCCAACGGAAAATGTAGCTAAAGAGATGATAACGTGCCACCTGGGAAATGAAGCAGTGTCAAAAATCTAATTTCTATGAACAAATTTCCACAGCACTCATTGATGGGACAATCATATTCACCTCCATCTTTAACTGGGCATTTACCAACTATGATTCCATTAGATTTTAAACCAGGCTATTCTTGCAAATGTGTTTTTGTTAAAAAAAAAACTAATTAAAATAGCCTGATGTTGTATCTAGTGTGAGTTTTTTTTTTTCTTTTTTACAGAAAAGACAATTTAAGCTACAGACCTAGAGTAAGCTATAGCTCTATTTTTCCTGGTGACTATTATGAAACAAAAGCATCTTAAAGCCCCGCTGGAGATGAAGATAAAACCTGAACATAAAATTCGGGTTATGTGCCGATTTTAATGTAATCTTCTAGCTATATTTAATTGTACTGTTCCTTTTATTCAGGGGTGTTGTCTCCGTGTCTCCTGTGAAGGGCACATTTTGATCTATGCCCTTGAGCTTTGATCTCTGAACTGGGTCCCTGCAGGGCACAGTGGGAAGATCAATCACTCAAGTATCTCCCAGGACACCAGGTCAAGTGGCAGAAGTTCATGCTCCAGAATTCTCAGTCCTGGAGACTCTTGTAGCTTCAATTGTCAACTAGACAAAGCCAGCTGAGTTCTTGTGTGCAGACTGCAGAAAGCACTGAGCCGAGCACATCATGAGAGGCCAACCCTAAACCCTCAGGCTTTCTGAAGAGGAAGAGTGCTGGGACCTCATTCTGTAGTAGGAAAAACAAACCATGGGCCTCGCATGCATCCAGGGCCATTTAATAGCGATGTGGACATGGACCAGTGGAATGACCTCACTGGGCCATCTGTACATGGGCAGTTTGCCCCGCCTTGCAGTGGGCAAGCCTGCAGCTTCAGAGCTCTAATCCTGCGACTTGTGTCCCTGCCACATCCTCCCCTGGGAGCACTCAGCAAGGGCTCAGTTATTGCGAGCACCCTTCTCTCCCCTTCCCCAATCCTTTCACCAGCACAGACAAAAGGCAATCAGATCTTTACATGACCGTGATAAAATTCAATGGGAGATCAACAAGACACAAACAGGGTCCTTGAACAATGTCTTTCATCCCACATTGCTCTGGGAAGAAAAGGATCCATTGTCAAAAACCAAACATACATCCTATTCAATGATAAATGCAGGAAGGTCACAGTGGAGCCCAGTCACTTTGCTAAAGATTCTCTGATTATTATAGCCCTGTCAGGTCACCCCAGTAAAGAGAGTTCCCAATGAGAATTCATGATACCTTGACGGCAAGAGAGGTCAGTCTGAGGAGAAGGAACTGTAAAGCCCTAGCCTCCGTGTTCTGCCTCTCACGTACACAGGACGGGGGAAGACTGGGAATGGGGAGTGGCGGGTGGGGAGAGCTGGGATTTTCCCAGGCCTTCTGGGGATATTAATAGAAATTAGAGGGGAGGGAGAAAGTTTTGTAGTCAAATACACATTTGGGACATGCTGGATTAAGGACAATGCTAGACTTTAGGAATATGACATACATTTATTCCTCATCCCAGCGTTTTAAATTTTGAGTCAATATCATACCTCCGGGAGAGAAATTCAATGACTTGTCCAAGATCATGCAGTTATTTATGTCAGAACTTGGCTTTTATCTCAAATCTGCCTTCCTCCCATGCGGGTGGTTTTCTATCAGATAGTGCTCCTTACAGAAGAAAGTTTTTGTGAAGGGGACGTTGATAATTAGAAACAACGCTTGGCGATAAAAGCTGCGGCCATCGGAATCAGGCCTGTGTGTGGGGGCCATATGCACTTGGCGATGCCCCCATTTCCGAGCCTGTGGAAAAGCACAGTCCCAAGGTTAGGCACAAGCCACATTCTCCTTTCCTACCTGGGACAGGGCCAGACATGAACAGTTGTCTTTGCTGAGCACAAAGGAATCATTCAACTAAAAAGTGGCAGCAGGGATGGTCTACCCAGATTTGTGGCCAGCCCCAGTCCAAGCCCGTTCCCAGCTGGGCGCCAAGATCAGTCAGGTGGCCACAGGCAGGACATGCCTTTCTGGAGCCAGAGGAACAGGCCAGTAGGCCTTAGGCCTCCACGCCTGGAGAGGCAGCCCAGGCTTCTCAGTTCCCCTGGTTCTCTGAAGCCTGGGGAAAGTTGTGTCATGTCGTTGTCCTCTCCTAAGAAACCCGCCTGCCTGTCCAGCTGAGCTCCTAATCCGCATTGTCCGTGCCGTATTTGAGGCAGGCATCCATGGGCATAGCCTAGCTCTGCACGTCTGCACTGTCAAGTGTAAACTCACACCCTCCTCCCTTAGAATTATATCCCTTACTTCTCTCCCCAAGAAAAGCGTGTGTGCCCAGAAAGGGACCCGAGCTTTTCCACAACTATTGATCTTCTCTTGTTATGATGTTGGCCTCCCCAGCCTTGAAGGGCTTGCCAGTTCTCAGCCCTCCTTCTTGGTTTGTGTCCCTTCTTTCTGATGGTTTGTGTAGCTGGTGCAACCTTCTTCTGAGTGCAGTTGCTTCTGGGAGTTTTGTTTTATGCTTACACTTTGGGGTTTTTAAATTAATTGCAATAGTTTTAGGGGGTAGAGGTGTTTTTTGTTACATGGATGAATTGTGCCATGCTAAAGTTAGGGCTTTTAGTGTACTCATCACCAAAAGAGTGGACATTGTACATGGTAGGTAGGTTTTTGTCCCTCATTTCTCTCCCATCCTACCCCCTCCTTAGTTTTAATGTCTGTTACACAC